CACAGCACTCTACCTAGGGCAACTGAGTGAGACTCTGTCTCAAAAAGAAAAAAAAAAGAAAAGAAAAAGTAAGCTAAAAGAATCGCTAAAAACCTTTTAGATTCAATTCATACAATTTTTCCACCAAAAAACCCACTCGATGTTGACAAAAAAAAAAAAAAAAGACAAACCAGGGTCAGGTTATAGAACTGACTTAGAAACACTGTAAAACATTCCAGATTCAAAACACTAAGGAGTGTTTTCTTTGGGGACTAAATGGCATTAACTGCTCTGTTTAATAAATGGACTCCACTCTGAACTTCGCAGTTTAATTTAAAAAATGTAAACCAAAAGGGGAAATTACAGATACGACTGAACTGGTGGTCTCAGCTGAGCATTTTGAGAAGACCCTTGAGCAATATTTTTCAACCTTTTTTGTCTCACGTCACACTGGAACCTATTGTTAAACTCCTGTGGCACACTTAAATTATATCGATCAAAAAAAAGAGTAAAAAGCCAGGCGTAGTGACTCACGCCTGTAATCCCAGCACTGTAGGAGGCCAAGGCAGGTGGATTGCCTGAACTCACAGATTCGAGACCAGCCTGAGCCATCTCTAAAGAGCAGGACCCATCTCTAAAAATAGCCAGGCGTTGTGGTGGGCACTGTAATCCCAGCTACTCCGGAGGCTGAGGCAAGAGAATCTCAAGTCTGAGGTTGCTGTGAGCTATGATACCATGGCACTCTACCCAGAGTAACAAAGTCTCTGTCTCAAAAAGAGGTTAAAAAAAAGCATACACTTACTGTGCTTTAAACTTCTTTCAAAAATATTTAATTAATGATCTTTAAAATTTTTCACAGCACACCAGTTGAAAATCACTGCTCCAGAGCAAGGACAACTAACGAGGTTATGTCTCTCCAGTGGCTACAGGAGCCAAAACCAAAGAGATCGTGTCATTTTTATTTTAAATCACAACCAAGAGGTCCTACAACAAAGAATTCTTTGTCCCAAGGTATCTGCCTTCGTTACAAACCACCAGGACCCTGGGAAACAGATTGTCCACTTTTCTATTAGTCAACCAATAAGCCTCCTCCCTTTAAGGGGGACTGTTTCACCAGTAGAGGAAACCCAAGAGATTTTAGCTCCGGTGATGATAATCAATATTGCCTACGATGCTCCTAAAGACACTCTAATTTCAGCTCAGTGCCTATGGCTCAAGCGGCTAAGGCGCCAGCCACATACATTTAAGGTGGCAGGTTCAGGCTCGGCTCCTATAGCTCAACCGGCTAAGGC